TTGGAAAGGGCTATGGTATCCGTGGTTCTACCCCTCTTTTCCTCTCCTTTCATTCTTGCCAGAGCCTTGTGTCTATTTTACTAATTTCAAAGAACCAACTTTTGGTTTCATTGATCTTTGTTTTTTCTATTTCATTAATTTCTGCTGTCTTTGTGATTTCCTTCCTTCTACTTTCTTTGGGTTTATTCTACTGTGGTTTTTCTGACTTCCTGGGTTGGGGCTCAGCTTACTTTTTTAAGGCTATGCATTTACTCTTATGTACTGCTTGAGCTACACTGCACACGTTTTCAAATGTCGCGTTTTCACTGTTGTTCAGTTCTAACAGTTTTTTAGATTTTCATTATATTTCTTCTTGGACCAATCAGTTATTGGGAAGTGTATTTGTAAATTTAAATTTGTAAATTTAAATTTTCAAACATATGGGAGGACTTAATTTTAGCTTTATTATCCATTTATGATTTTATTCTATTGCAGTTTGAGAACATGATCTGTGTGACACCCACTTTTGCTGAGGTTTGTTGTGAGAACATGGGGCTTTATTAAGTGTTCAAGGTGAATTTGAAGTGTGTGGTCTCTAGTTTTGGGATGTCTGTTAATCAAGCGCGTTCAATCTGTGCTATATTCTTCCTATTTTTGTCTGCTTGAGCTACCAATTGGAGGGAGAGATAGTGTGATTTACTGCGGTGAATTTACTAATTTATTAATTTTTCCTTTTACTGCTACTTTCTTTTTTTTTTTTTTGCGGTCCGCGGGCCTCTCACTGCTGTGGCCCCTCCCGCTGCGGAGCACAGGCTCCGGACGCGCAGGCTCGGCGGCTGTGGCTCATGGGCCCAGCCGCTCCGCGGCATGTGGGATCTTCCCGGACCGGGGCACGAACCCGTGTCCCCTGCATCGGCAGGCGGACTCCCAACCACTGCGCCACCAGGGAAGCCCACTGCTAACTTTTTGTTTGATGTACATTTGAGGCTCTGTCATTAGGCAGCTACACACACATTCAGAATGGTTAATGCTTCTGAATGGATTATTTCTTTAATCATTGGGCAGCAACCCCTTTTATTCCTAATAATGATTTGTGCCCTGAGGTGTACTTTGTCTGATGTTAATTTCTCTCCACTAACTTCCTTTTGAATGGTATTCGCTGGGTAGGTCTGTTTCCATTTGTATCAATTAGGGTTTGGTGGCAGACCACAGAACCATTCTAGCTTTGTAAGTTGAAAAAAAAAAAAGGATTTATTATCAGGTAGGGACGGCTTGCACAATCTTGGGAAGAGATGGAGGAACACCTCCTAACCCTCCATATTGCCACTTGTCCTGGATCAGGAACAAATCCTAACCTCAAAACTCAGCTAAGGGACTTCCCTGGTGGTGCAGTGCTTAAGAATCGCCTGCCAATGCAGGGGACACGGGTTCGAGCCCTGGTCCGGGAAGATCCCATGTGCCGCAGAGCAACTAAGCCCGTGTGCCACAACTACTGAGCCTGTGCTCTAGAGCCTGTGAGCCACGACTACTGAGCCTGAGTGCTACAGCTACTGAGCCCACATGCCTAGAGCCTGTGCTCCACAACAAGAGAAGCCACCGCAATGAGAAGCCTGCATATCGTAACGAAGAGTAGCCCCCACTCGCCGCAACTAGAGAAAGCCCGTGCACAGCAACGAAGACCCAACACAGCCAAAAATAAATTAAAAAAAAAAAAAAAACTCAGAGAAAATGCCGTCTATCTCCCATCCCCCAGATGAGAGACCAAGCACCTCGCGTCCATGCGTCTCTTCAACCACCAGCTGCCTCTCTGCTGGCCAATGCACCATCGGACCACCTCCAGTCTGGAGCTCTCAGCCAGCCACACCCTCCCAGCGCTTACTCATCATTTCCGCTGGGGCCAAGGGCCTGGGCCCAGCAAGCACTAATCAGGCAGCACCTTCTCCCAGACCTGTCCCTTCTTCCGCAATGGATGCCATCGCCCAATCGGCCACCCAAGCCAGAACCCAGGGGTCACCTTGACTCTCACTCCACCCGTCCCCTCCCTCAGAGTCTGAGGTACCCCCCGCATGACTTTCTTCTATTCTCTCTAGTGCATCTGGGATTTCAGGCCTCAGCACGTCTGGCCTGGGTTGCGTCAAGTGGTGTGCTCCTTCGTCTATGTCTCTCCATCTCTTCACCCGTGATCCATCCATCCATCTATCTATCATCATCACCAGTCTATCATCTCTCTTTATTATCTATCAATCATTGGTCACTTCTACCTCTTTATGATCAATGTATCCATCACCTATTATCTATTTTTTGAGGCGAAATTCACATAACACAAAATTAACCCTTTTAAAGTGCACCATTTGTTGGTATTTAGCATACTGACAGTATTGTGCAACCATCACCTCTGTAGTTCCAGAACATTCTCATTACCCCAAAAGGAAACCTTGACCCCGTTCAGCAGTCACTATCCAGCCCCTGGCACCCATTGGTCTGCTTTCTCTGTCAAGCTGAATAATACTCCATTGTACAGACAGACCACATTTTGTTTGTCCATTCATCTGTTGATGGACATTCGAGCTGTTTCCACTTTTGGTTACCATCAATAGTACTGTTAATAATGTTCATGTATGAGGTTTTTTTTAAAAGAATTTTATTTATCTATTAGTTTTGGCTGCATTGGGTCTTGTTGCTGCGCGCGGGCTTTTCTCTAGTTACAGCGAGTGGGGGCTACTCTTCGTCGTGGTGCGCAGGCTTCTCATTGCGGTGGCTTCTCTTGTTGCAGAGCACGGGCTCTAGGCGTGTGGGCTTCATTGGTTGTGGCACGCGGGCTCAATAGTTGTGGCTTGTGGGCTTTAGATCGCAGGCTCAGTAGTTGTGGCGCACGGGCTTAGCTGCTCCACGGCTTGTGGGATCTTCCTGGACCAGGGCTTGAACCCGTGTCTCCTGCATTGGCAGGTGGATTCTTAACCACTGTGCCACCAGGGAAGCCCTGTGTATAAGGTTTTTTTTTTTTTTTAAGACTTTAAAAAAAAATTAATTATTTTTGGCTGCATTGGGTCTTCGTTGCGGTGCGCAGGCTCCTCATTGCGGTGGCTTCTCTTGCTGCAGAGCACGGGCTCTAGGTGCACGGGCTTCAGTAGTTGTGGCTCGTGGGCCCTAGAGCGCAGGCTCAATAGTTGTGGTGCACGGGCTTAGGTGCTTCGTGGCATGCGGGATTTTCCCGGACCAGGGCTCGAACCCGTGTCCCCTACATTGGCAGCCAGATTCTTAATCACTGCGCCACCAGGGAAGCCCAGGGTATAAGGTTTTGATTGAACATCTATTTTCCATTCTCTTGGGTCTACATCTCCGAGTGGAAGCGCTGGGTCACACGGGAACTCTGCCTAGCTTTCCAGGACCTGCCACACTGTTCCCCACGATGGCTGCCCCACCTCTGTCCCAGCAGCAGTGCGTGAGCCAAGCGCAGTGCTCTTGCCTCCCTCCCGGCAACCCTCCACGCAGCCTCCTTTAAGCATGAATCCCATGTTTCCATCTTGTGCTGAAAACCCTTCAGTGGCTTCTCATTGCTTCTGAATGCCAGGCTCTGGAAGTGAGGCCCCTCCCTCCCCCCTGCACTTGGCATTGATATCCTGCATCTTGCTCCTGATTTACCCCTGGGCCTCGGCACAAGCGTCCCCCCGCCCCCCGCCTAGGAGGTCTAGAAGCACTGTGTCCCCACTGCTCCTTGCCTGGCTGGCTCAGGACTCTTCCTCCTCCGTGTCCCCTGCCAGCCCCTTTGGCAGCTCACTGGTTTTCTCTCAGCATCTCTCTTGGAGCTCGTCCGTCACGGGTGGATGGGACCTCGGTCCCCTCCTCTCCACCCCGGCACAAGGTCGGGCTGGGTCCAGAGTCCCCTTCCGGCTCAGCCATCCTTTTCGAGGGATGTTGCTGATGCCGCCTGCCCACGGCTGCGTCTGCCGGAGGACGCGCAGGGCAGCATCTTCGGCTGGGGGTGGGATCAAGGCTCCTCCCCCCCACGCAGGCCACTGCTGCCCCTCCCGCCTCTCTCCCAAGCCCCGACGGACAAAGACGCTGGGAGGCAGGACTGCACTTTCCACAGGAGGTTTTTACTGAGGAACTGAGGGAGGTTCCCCGACCCGAGGGCTGAGGGCCCGAAAGGCACACGGCGGCGTGGCGGCGGGGTCTCCCCCTCGGTGGGGGCAGTCTTTGCAGAGACAGCTTCCCCACTGACCCCTCTTTGGCACTGAACTGGGACAGCGGTGCCCTCACGCCCGGCAGCCCCAGCATCCCCGCCCCCACCCACGCCCTGGCGGTTGGCAGTGTAGGCCGGTGGGGTAGCGGGCTGGCTGGGGGCCCAGGCCACCTCCCCCACTGGCAGGGTGCTCATGTTGGCGATGGAGAGGGCTACAAAGAGGAATCCAATAAATTAGCCTGAAGGAGAGAGGGCTAGGGACGGAGGGGGATGGGGACTACATTCTTGTCATTGCTCGGTAGGAAATGTTGTGCAATTCTTTCTCCCAAGGGCTCTTTGGGATGACTCGTGGGGAGAAGGGGCACAGATGACGGGCCCTGCCTCATAGCGGGGCCCACTTGGCTGTTTTTATGGCAGTAAGCGTGTTCCGGGGGACGGGAGCCTCGGCGTGCCACTGCGATGATGGCAATAGAGAGATGGACTGTCTGTGATGTCTCCAAGGGACCGCAGAGGAGGGAATGGGGGGACTCCAGACTTAGGAGGCGCTGCCCTGCAAACACCAAGGCTCCTGGGCACAGGCTGGTGCTGTGAGCGGGGCCGCGCCTCTGGCCCCTCTCCCCTATCCACTTGCCCAGGTCCCAGTCTGGTGGGGCTGGGAAGTGGGCACGGGTTTCGCTGGCTGTCCTCTGGGAGGCCTGGGAGGACGGCAAAGCATGCAGGGTGGGCCCGCAGCGGGGCGGTGGGGGGAAGGCTTGGTGGGCAGGCGCTCCGTTTCCTTCACGTGATCCGAGGGCTTGGTGTGGGGCGTGGGCCAAGGGCTAAGAGCCAGGGCCGTCTGTCAGGTGGCAGCGGCCTGGAGGACTCCAGGGCCTTGGCCCAGGATCTGGCAGAGCTCCTGGAGGCGCCGCTGCATCTTGGGGATGCCCGCCAGCTGCTGCTCAAGCCGCTGCTTTTCCTCAGTCAGGCTCAGGCGGGCGGCCGAGTCCAGCTTCTCGAACTTCCAGCCGCCCTCTCCGTCGAACTGTAGTAAGTGTGTGTGGTACTTCCTGTCCCAGGAGAGGGAGCCGGAGGTTGTTTGGCAGCACCGCCCCCTCCCCAGCTGCAAAGCCACGGGCGCGTCGCTCGCCGGAAGTGAGGGAACCTACCACAGGGAGGGTCGGTGGGTGATGGAAAGCAGGGCAATGCCTGCATCCTTGGCCGCCTGGAAGATCTTGCCTTCCACGTCGATGCTCACGGCACTGGTACATTCATCCAGGAGGGCGTACTTGGGCCTTGGGGGTGGGGGCTGAGTGGGTGAGCCTGTGGACCCTCCAACAGCCCCAACAGCCTGGGCTGGCCCCAGCCCCCAGTGGGGGCGGGAAGCCTGACCTGCGTGCTGACCCCCTGTCCTTTCGATCCCATCCCTGCTGGGCCCTGGGGGGCAGGGCAAGGCCTCCTGGTGGCGCTGCCCTCCCCGCTTAAGGGGCTCCCAGGGAGCACAGATGCCGAGCAGGCTCCTGGGAGCACCCAGGCAGCACCCTTGTCTCTGCCGCTGGCTCGGAGGACCTCCAGTGCCCGAGGGAGCCCAACCACTCAGGACAGCGTGGCTCACCTGTGGTAGAACATGCGGGCCATGCCAACTCTCTGCTTCTCGCCCCCGGACAGAACGTCCTTCCAGTCACACACGGCCTCCCAACCTGGCAGGAGACAAAGGTCGCTGTTCAGTTCAACAAGGGCTGGGCAGCAGGGGCAGAGGGCCTGGGCCCAGGCGCAGTGGCTGTGGTGGGAGGGGCCGGGCCACCAACAATAGCGGAACACAGCAGCACACGTGACTCGGAGAAGGGCTGTCCACTGGGAACATGTGCTCTGGGTACCTGTCCGTCTGTTGGGACACCGGAATAGTTCAAAAGGGTTGGGGCCAGAATTACATCCCCTCCAAGAAAAGATACATGGGAGTCCTCACCCGCAGGACATGAGAATGCCACTGCATTTGGAGACAGGGTCTTTACAGAGGTGATCGAGTTAAAGTGAGGTCACGGGGGTGGGTCCTCATCCGATGGGACTGGTGTCCTTATAAAAAGGGGACATTTGGAGACGCAGACACACACAGAGGAGAGACGACGTGAAGACACAAGGAGCAGACGGCAACTACAAGCCCAGGAGAGAGGCCTGGAACACACCCTCCCTCGCGGTCCCCAGAAGGAACTGCCCCTGCCCACCCCCCTGGATCTTGGCCTCCCGGCCTGCACAACTGGGAGACGACACGTTTCTGTCATTTGCCCCACCCAATCTGTGGCGCCAGCGAACTCACACAGGACCTAATGGGGTGCTAATGAAGTGCCAGTGGGCATCAAACAGTCATGGCAGAGCCCCAAGGATGGCTGCGACGGGCTCTCCAGAAGGCTTCTCACCCACAAGCGCCAGGCCTATGCGTCTCTGCTTGGTGGAGCACGTCAGCCAGGCTCAGGAGGCAAGTGGGTGATTCATCAGAAACGCCTCCTCGCCTGCTCCCTCCACTGCCCTTCCAGAAAACTAGAGGTTTTGGCAGGGCACGTGGCCACACACAAAAGAGACGAAATCCCGAAGCTTGCCTTGATGAGAGGTTTAACCACAGGACTGAATTCTGGCCAATGGGGTATAAGTGTAAGTGTTAACACACGTGGCAGCTTCTGGAACTTTCTTTAAAGGACAGACGGCATTCACTCTATGATTTGCACCCCCACCCCGCCCCTGCCACTTTCTCCATTCTATGGCCTGGGATATGATGTGATGCCGGAGCAGCCACCTTGGACTGTGAGGTGACCTTGGGAAAGGAAGCCACATATAGCAGAGTGACCTGGGGGCCTTTGTGGAGTGGGGCTCGGCCTCAGGGGCCCCAGGCACTCAGGGGTGTGTGCAGCCCAGGAGGAGGGGTACACTCCCAGGGCGAGCAAAAGAGGCCTGACCAGGCCAGGGGGAAGCTGGGGATGAAGCTTTGCAGGGACCAGGGCAGGCCCGGGAGGAACAGCCCCGCTGAATCCACCGCCTGCGGCCCCCTTTCTGCACAGGTGACGACACCTGGGAGGGACTCTCATGAGTCATCTGCCACGTCCTGCAGAGCCCCCATGGGTCCTCACAGGCACTCTTTCATTTACTGCTGGCACTGAGGTTGAGACTGGTACCTGGCCCCTTCTACAGGTGGAAAGCATCTCAAGAGATCAGGTTTTGCTCAAGGTCAAGCTGCCACTTGGTAGCGTGGGTAGGACTCGGACCTCTGCCACTCAGCTTTCAGTATAAAAATCCAAACTGACAGCTGGGCCGCACTCTCCTCTTCCGCCCCTCTGGGCATGACAGGCAATTAAAGACCAACCTGAGAAGCCCCCAAGTGATGCATTCTCTGGCCATCGGCCTGTCCCTCCCTCCTGCGGTCTCTTCCCAGGGGACACACCGCCCAGGCTCGAGCCAGACACGTGGGTGGGCAGGCGTCCCCTCCACCTCTGCTCCGCACGCTCCAGGCTGCCCCGCCCACATCCGTGCTCTGCCCTCTCGCTGAAATGCATAACTGACCTGTCGCTTCCCTGCCTGGCCCAAGAGGCCCTGCCTGCCACGGAGCCCAGAGCCTGGAGAGGGTGCCCCGTTGGATGGCCCCCGCCAGGCCTGGCTCCCTTCCCGAGTGCAGTGCACTCAGGCCGTCTGGGGCCGCGCGCTTCCTGTCGGTCCTCCCCAGGGGGCGGGCTCCCCAGGCCACGTAGCACTTCGGACTCGCGAATGTTGGCTGGGGCAGTCCCTCGGGGACTATCCCTCGGGGGCCAGGAGGGAGGCACGGGCAGGGGCAGCAGCAGGTTCCCCAGCTGAGCCTTGGGACAAAGGACGATCGATCGATGGCGTCCCGTGTGGCACTGATGAGTGGGATGCCCCTTCCCCTACCTCCTTCCCGCTGCAGGATGTGGTGCAGGTGCACGATGTCCAGAATGGCTTCCAGGTGCTGCTCTGAAAAGCCCTTCCTTCGCATGTCCTCCACAGAGTCCGGGTAGATCACTTGGTCGCGCAAGCAGCCCACAGACATGTAGGGCCTGCGGGAGAGCCACGTGTCCGCCGAGGGAAGGGCGGCCCAGCTTCCCTGCCGATGCCCTGCTCTCGAGCAGGCTCCGCATGGGCCCTGCCTGCCCCAGGGGTGCTGACCGGAAGGCCGCGCCCACCCACTCACACGCACGCACACTCAGGCTGCACACACGCATCACGGCACACGTGCAGGTACTCGCCCACACGCACTCACGCGTGCACACGCACCCCCAGCTGTGAAGCTGCTGGGCGAGCAGGTCGGGGCGGGGTGGCAGCACCTTGCCGTCCTCTGCCCGGGCCTCAGGCCCTGCCATCTCCGGGACGTCAGGTTCCGCAGGTCAGAAGGGGTGGGGGCGGACCTGGGGACCCTGGCTCTCTCCCTTCCCCCCCATCCCGCCCAGCTGCCGGTGGCCCCATCACCCCGCTGCTCACCTCTGGGGGACGTAGAACATGCGTTGGGGCGGAGGCTTGTAGAGCACGCCGCCATAGGTGGGCCAGAGACCGCCCAGGATACGGAACAGAGAGCTCTTGCCGCAGCCGTTGGGGCCCGTGATGAGCAGGTGCATGCCCTCTTCCACCTGTAGAGGCAGCAGCCGTGGAAGCCGGCCTGGGCCTCCTTCCCCTTACCCATGGCCCGCCTGACAGCCTCGGAGAGGCCCCCGCACCCAGCACATGCCATCCTCCATCTCTTGGTGAGGAATGGCAGGGCCCCGAGGGTGAGCTCTGGTATCCAGAGCCCTAACCGGCTGCCTGTTTCAGGCACTGCCTTGTCCCCTAGGGCCTCGACATGCACCAGAGAGCAGGGGGCCAGGAGGAGGGCCTGTTCTGCCACAGTCCAGCAAACGGGTACGCGCCCCAGAAGGTCAACGTCAGCTGCAGCCCACTTCACCCGGAAGCCAAGTGTCAAGCGCCTGAGGCCCGCCATGAGCTGATTACATCATGTCCACTGGTGTTCTGGAAACACCTGCTATAGGAAAAAGGCCGCCCGAGCAGGCGGGGAGCGTGCAGATGGCAGGGAGCCCGCCGTCCTCGGGGTGGGGGAGGGCATGAGGCACGGAGTCAAGGCACGTGGGGTACAGCTTCCGCTGCCCCCCGCCATGTGTGACATCACAGCAACACTAAGGGCCTTCCAGCCAGTGCAGTCCTTGCGAGATCCCAGAGTGTGGCGGATACGCGCATCCATCTGGTTTATCTCGGTCAGTGCCATGGGTTGAGCCATGTCCCCTCAAAGAGTCCTGTGTTCGAGTCCTAACTCCCAGGACCTCAGAATGTGGCCTTACTTGGAAATAGAGTCTTTGTGGATATAATGAAATTTAGATGAGGAGTGGGGTGGGCCCCTAATCCAGTGTGACCTGGTGTCCTTATAAATAGGGGACATTTGGACACAGAGACACGTGCACAGGGAGAGTGCCATGTGAAGATGGAGGCAGGGACTTCCCTGGTGGCGCAGTGGTTAAGAGTCCGCTTGCCAATGAAGGGAACAGGGGTTCGAGCCCTGGTCGGGGAAGATGCCACATGCCGCGGAGCAACTAAGCCCGTGCACCACAACTACTGAGCCTAAGTGCCGTAACTACTGAGCCCGCACGCCTAGAGTTGGTGCTCCACAACAAGAGAAGCCACCGCAATGAGAAGCCCACGCACGGCAACGAAGAGTAGGCCCCGCTCGCAGCAACTAGAGATAACCCGCGCGCAGCAACAAAGACCCAACGCGGCCCAAAAAAAAAAAAAAAAAAAAAGGAAGGACAAAAACCAAAAGGCAGGGAAGGC